GGCGCATTCAGACCTTACAGTGGCACACACCTGTAATCCCAGCTACTCCGGAGGCTGAGGCACAAGAATCGCTTAAATCCAGGAGGTGGAGGTTGCAGTGAGCTGAGATCTCACCACTACACTCCAGCCTGGTGACAGAGCAAGGCTTTGTCTCAAAAACAAAAAGAAAAGAAAAGAAAAAATATCTAAGGAACTACACGGTGGTGGTGGATCCTTCCCTTCCCTCTCCTTCCCGCCCCAGGCTCTCTGGTCTCTTAGCCTTTCACTGAGTCCTAGGCCCTCCACATAGCCATTTAGTCCTTCAGCATCCTCTTGCCCAGCCTGGCCCTCTCATTTGCAAACCCTCCAGTTTGAAGAGATTTCCAATGACTTCTCTGACTTGCCAAATCCAAGGAGCACATTTCAGCACATCTCTTCAGTTCCCTGTGGTCCTGATGCTGCTCCATGTGCTTCCCACAAGCATCTTCCTTGGGCACCTGGGATACTGCTCCCTCCTGGCTCTTCTTTTTTCTTTTGGGGAAGCTTCTGGGTTTCCTTTGAGTCTCCTGTTTTCCTTCGCCCATAAATGTTGGGACTTCCCAGGCTCTGTCCTTGACCTTGTCTTCTCACTCAGCATGCACTCCCTCCTCTCCATGGCTTCAGCTGTCATGCCTGAGCTGACCACCTTTCCTGTGCTCCAGACCACACATCCAGCCACCTTCAACATGCCTACACCTGGGTGTCCTTTGGGCACCTCAACTAGCAAGTTCAAGACCCAAACATCTCCACCCATCCCCTCCCCACGAACTGCCCCTCCCACCCCCACTGTGTTCTCTGGCTCCCGACGGTGCTGTCATCCACCCTGCTTCCCAAACCGGGACCGGGAAGCAGGTCCTCCTAAACTCTGCTCCCCAAACCCCACACACCTGTCCCAGACAAGCCATCACAAGACCCTGCCAAATTTGCCTTCTGCCTAGAGCAGTAGCCCATGCCTATAATCTCAGCACTTTGGGAGGCTGTGGTGGAAGGATCTCTTGAGCTCAGGAGCTCAAGGCCAGCCTAGGAAACATATCCAGACCCTGTATCTACAAATAAAAGTTTAAAAAATAAGCTAGGCATGATGGTACACACCTCCCAGTGAAGTTGGGAGGCTGAGACAGGAGGGTCACTAGAGCCCAGGCTTGTGCTGCAGTGAGCTATGTCTTGTCACTGAACTTCACCGGCGGCAACAGTGGAAGATCTTGTCTCAAAAAAAAGGCTCTCTCTTCTCCCCAAATCTTCTATCGTCTTTTGCCTAGGATATGATTTTTTTTTTTTTTTTTTTTGGAGACAGAGTCTCACTCTGTCACCCTGGCTGCTGCAGGTATGTGATCTTGGCTCACTGCAGCCTCCACCTCCCAGGTTCAAGCAATTCTCCTGTCTCAGCTTCCCCAGTGGCTAGGCTTACTGGCATGTGCCACCATGCCCAGCTAACATTTGTTGTTGTTTTTCCTCAGACAGAGTCTTGCTCTGTCGCCCAGGCTGGAGTACAATGGTGCGATCTTGGCTTACTGCAACCTCAGCCTCCCGGGTTCAAGCGATTCTCCTGCCTCAGTCTCCCAAGTAGCTGGGATTACAGGTCCACGCCACCATACCTGACTACTTTTTGTATTTTTAGTTAGAGATGGGATTTCACCATGTTGGCTGAGCTGGTCACGAACTTCTGACCTTGTGATCCACCCACCTCAGCCTCCTAAAGTGCTGGGATTATAGGCGTAACCTAACGAGCCCAGCCAAGTTTGGTATTTTTAGTAGAGACAGGGTTTCACCATATTGACTAGGCTGGTCTGAAACTCTTGACCTCAAGGAATCCACCCAAAGTGTTAGGATTACAGGCGTAAGCCACCACGCTCTCCTAGAATCTGATCTTAGCCTCTAAATTGTCTCCCATCTATTCATCCAACACAATCTCTACAGTGCAGCAAGAGCCAATCATATTCAATACAATCTCATCATCACACTCTTCAAGGGCTTCCTTTTATCCTTAGGTTCAAAATTAAAATTCCTTAAAGGGCCTTTAAAAGCCTTCCATCTTTTCCCAGCTACTTCACCAGTGACTTCTCCAAATTCTACTCTGACCTTCCAGTGGGCCCATTCTCTGACTTTGTGCCTTTGCAGGTCTCTCAGCCTGAATCAGTCTTCCCTCTTCCACCTCTCTCTCCACCTTCACTTTGCTAACTCCTACTTAACTTGTAGGTCTCCACTTAGTTACTACTTCCTCCAGGTGGCTCTTCCACACTAGCAAGCTCACATAAGTTGCCCTTGGGTGAGAAGCCCCTTCAGCAAGTTATGTCACTTCTCTGTGCCTTAACTTCCTCATTAATAAAATGAGGCCGGGCACAGGGGCTCACGTCTGTAATCCCAGCACTTTAGAATGCCAAGACAGGCAGATCACGAGGTTGGGAGTTTGAGACCAGCCTGGCCAATATGGTGGAACCCTATCTCTACTAAAACTACAAAAATTAGCTGGGTGTGGTGGCACACACCTATAATCCTAGCTACTCTGGAGGGTGAGGCAGGAGAACTGCTTGAACCCAGGAGGTAGAGGTGACAGTGAGCCAAGATCATGCCATTGCACTCCAGCCTGGGTGACAGAGTGAGACTCCATCTAAAACATAAATAAATAAAAATAAAAAATAGGCCGGGCATGGTGGTTCACACCTGTAATCTCAGCACTTTGGGAGGCCGAGGCGGGCTGATCACCTGAGGTCAGGAGTTCAAGACCAGCCTGGCCAACATGGTGAAACCCTGTCTTTATTAAAAGAAAATAAATAATAAATAAATAAATTAAATAAATAAATAAAAATAAAAAATAAAACCTGCCTCACAGAGGTTGTTATCAGTATTAAGCAATAACATATATGTAACGGGGCCAAGCATGGTGGCTCATACCTGTAATTCCAGCACTTTGGAAGGCGGAGGTGGGTGGATCATGAGGTCAGGAGTTCTAGATCAGCTTGGCCAACATGGTGAAACCCCATCTCCACTAAAAATACAAAAATTAGCTGGGTGTGGTGGCATGCACCTGCAGTCCCAGCTATTTGGGAGGCTGAGACAGAAGAATAGCTTGAACCTGGGAGGTAGAGGTTGCAGTGAGCCGGGATCCAGTCACTGGACTCCAGCCTGGGTGACAGAGAGAGACTCCATCTCAAAAAAAAAAAAAAAAGAAAAGAAAAGAAAAGAAAATACATGTAAAAGAGTTAACATGCCTGGCATATGGTAAACATATCATCATTATGATTATGATTATTTTGAGACAGGGTCTTGCTGTGTTGCCCAGGCTGGAGTACAGTGGTACAATTTCAGCTAACTGCAACCTCTGCCTTCTAGGCTCAAGTGATTCTCCCACCTCAGCCTCCCAAGTACCATGCCTGGCTAATTTTTTGTATTTTTAGTAGAGACAGGGTTTGACGGTGTTAGCCAGGATGGTCCCCATCTCCTGACCTTGATCCACACGCCTCAGCCTCCCAAAGTGCTGGGATTACAGGCATGAGCCACCATGTCCGTCCTATTTTTTTCTTATTTTTGTGGAGAGGGAGTCTTGCTATGCTACCCAGACTGGTCTCAAACTCCTCAGGGGATCCTCCAGTCTTGGCCTCCCAAAGTGTTAGGATTATAGGCATGAGCCATCACACTCAGCCTAAATGGATGGAGTTTTGAGGAAAGCGGATTACCCTCTATTATGTGGATGAGCTTCATCCAATCAGTTCAAGGCTCTAATAAAACAAAGACTCACCTCCAGCAAGAAACAAGGCTTTATTTATTTATTTATTTATTTATTTTTACTGAGACCCATCTCTACAAAATTAAATTATTTTTTCTTTCTTTAAATTTAATTTTTTTTTTTTTTTTTTGAAACGGAGTTTCACTCCTGTTACCCAGGCTGGAGTGCAATGGCGAAATCTCGGCTCACTGCAACCTCCACCTCCTGGGTTCAAGCAATTCTCCCTCCTCAGCCTCCTGAGTAGCTGGGATTACAGGCACGTGCCACCATGCCCAGCTGATTTTTTGTATTTTTAGTAGAGATGAGGTTTCACCATGTTGACCAGGATGGTCTCGATCTCTTGACCTTGTGATCCGCCCGCCTTAGCCTCCCAAAGTGCTGGGATTACAGGCGTGAGCCACCGCGCCCGGCCCCTTTTTTCTTTCTTTTTTTGTTTTTGAGACAGTCTCACTTTGTAGTCCAGGCTGGAGTGAATTGGTGCAATCTCAGCTCACTGCAACCTCCACCTACTGGGTTCAAGTGATTCTCCTGCCCCAGCCTCCTGAGTAGCTGAGATTACAGACACCTGCCACCACGCCTGGCTAATTTTTTTGTATTTTTAATAGAGACAGAGTTTCACCATGTTGGCCAGGCTGGTCTCAAACTCCTGACTCAGGTGATCTGCTTGCCTCAGCCTCCCAAAGTGCTGGGATTACAGGTGTGAGCCACCTTGCCAGCCAAATTTTTTTAATTTTCATTTTTAAATTATTTATTTATTTATTATTATTATTTTTTTTGAGATGGAGTTTCACTCTTGTTACCCAGGCCAGAGTGCAATGGCGCGATCTCGGCTCACCACAACCTCCGCCTCCTGGGTTCAAGCAATTCTCCCGCCTCAGCCTCCTGAGTAGCTGGGATTACAGGCACACGCCACCATGCCCAGCTAATTTTTTGTATTTTTAGTACAGACAGGGTTTCACCATGTTGACCAGGATGATCTCGATTTCTTGACCTCGTGATCCACCTGCCTCGGCCTCCCAAAATGCTGGGATTACAGGCTTGAGCCACCGCGCCCGGCCTAATTTTATATATATATATATTTAAGACGGGGTTTCACCATGTTGGTCAGGCTGGTCTTGAACTCCCGACCTCAGGTGATCCAAAGTGCTTGGATTACAGGTGTAAGCCACCGCATCTGCACGAAATTTTCTTTTCTTTTTTTTTGGAGAAAACTCCATTTTATTATGGAAAGTTAAAAAGACAAAGAAAACAAAACAGGCAACTGCTAAAGGTGGCACAACAGGAGAGGAGAGGTGAGGTGTTTCCTTTGCCACCCCACACCATCTCAATTCAGTTCGATTCTGAACCACTAGGAGAAACAGAATTAAATAACTATCGAGGGTACAGAGTTAAGATTTCCAGCCTTCCCTCTTGAGGAAAACTGAGACAAAGTAATACTGAGAAAAAGTGGAGGAAGCCGCACCTTCAGGTCACTCCAATGAGGAGACAGGAGGGGACAGAGGAGAGAATTCCACACAGACACAGCAAGTAAGCGTGGCTTGTAAACCTGGGACTTTGGCAGGTGGAGCTGGGAGCTGGTGGAATTTGTAAACCAGGCTGTGGTCAAGAGAGGACGCAGGAGCTGTAAATAAAGGGGCAGTGACCTAGGAAATAAAGGAGATGTGCCTATAAATGGAATGGGGTCTGGGCCTCCCAGAGAAATGAGTGCTTAAATCCTAAGATCCCCCATGGGATGGTGGGGAGGAAGGCGATGGGAAGAGCGTACCCTGCCACAGGGGTCAGGTGCACTCCATCTCCACCCTCCGGGAGTTCTGTGCTCCTTCTCAGAACTTGGTGCTCACTCTTGGATCACCTAGGATGCACCAGCACTTTTAACCCCACTCACACTAGGGACTTTGGATTAGGGTAGAAACTGGGCAATTGGCTCTGCCCCCAGAAACAGGGTGGGGAAAGCAAGTCAGAAGATGGTGGTTGCCCTTCCCTGCCAGGCTCATTATTAGGGTCTGTCTGCCCTGAATCTTCCAGGCTCCAGGATCTTCAGTTATACGAAGGAGAGACGTATATTCCTATAATGGAAGATGGTCACCGCCAGCAGGACTCATCCACAATCAGGGCCTTGGTGCGAAGCCCACCCTGGAGCTCTGGCTGCAGCAGCAGCAGCTCTTCCTCATCCTCTTCCTCGTTGGGTTGGGCTGCTGGGGGGTTGGGGGAACTGGGGACCTCAGGCTCCGAGCCCAGCTCCTCTAGTACTGAACTCTCGGAGGGGTCTTCAGGGCTGTCTCGCTGAAGGAGATCTTAAGCTGTTTGTGGTGTCTTTCGGGGGACCCCTTAGCAAGGCAGCTGCAGCTGAGATGGAGGTAGCCCTCCAGAACCAAGATCTCCTCGGCAGTTGGGTACCGCTTCTTCCCAGCCCCCGGGGCTACAGCATCAGCTGTGGCTGGAGAGGCTGGGGTGGCTGGGGGAGTCGTAGGGGGCACAGACCGCCGGGGGTTGACGGTGAAGGTGTGTCCACTACGGCGGGGGGCCCCCACCCCTGGCCCTGCCTTCACCCCATAGAACAGGCGGCTCATGAGGTGATCCCCAGGAGGTTAGGGGGCAGTTAGGGCTGGGGGTGGGGGAGACAGAGGGGCTGGTGGTGGGGGCTGGAGTTCCACTCCGAAATTTTCTTAATTTCTTAATTTATTTTTTAATTTTTGAAAGGGAGTCTCACTCTGTCACTAGGCTGGAGTGCAATGGTGCAATCTCAGCTCACTGCAACCTCCACTTCCTGGGTTCGAGCTGTTCTCCTGCCTCAGCCTCCTGAGTAGCTGGGACTACATATGCCCACCGCCATGCCCAGCTAATTTTTTTTGTATTTTTTGTAGAGATAGGGCTTCACCACATTGGCCAGGATGGTCTCTAATTCCTGACCTTGTGATCCACCTGCCTCAGCCTCCCAAAGTGCTAGAATTACAGGCATGAGCCACGATGCCCTGCCAGGAATTTTTTTTTTTTTTCTGAGACGGAGTCTTCGCTCTCTGTCACCCATGCTGGAGTGGCCCAATCTCAGTTCACTGCAACCTCTGCCTCCGGGGTTCACATGATTCTTGTGTCTCAGCCTTGCAAGTAGCTGGGATTACAGGCGCATGCCGCTACACCCAGCTGATTTTTGTATTTTTAGTAGAGGTAGGTTTTTGCCACATTGGCCATCCATAGCTGGTCTTAAACTCCTGACCTCAGGTGATCCGCCTGCCTTGGCCTCCCAAAGTGCTGGGATTACAGGCGTGAGCTGCCACACCCGGCCAAAACAAGGAATTTTGCCAGCAGACTGCCTTTGGACTTGAACTGTAACTCTTTCCAGAGTCTCTGTCTCTGGCCTGTGCCCTCTCCATCACAGTTTTGGACTTGCCAAGCCTCCACAATCATGTGAGCTAATTCCTTAAAATCTCTCTCTCTCTCTCTCCATATATATATATATATATATATATATATACACACACACACGCACACACACACACCCTGTTGGCTCTGTTTCTCTGGAGAACCCTAATACAGTTGGTGCCCCAGTAGTCCCCCAGCTCAGCTGGGCCATCACCACCAAGTATAGCCTTCCTCGAGGCTCTTTGTAGCTGCACCCGCTCCTGACAACAGCTATTTCAAGCACTTGCCCCTCTCTGGCCCCCAAACCCTTCTCCCCTCTGAGTTTCCTATTTCTCAGGAAAAGCAGATGCCTCCAGAAAGGAGCTCCCTTATTTCTCGCATCTTCTGCCTTTCCCACCCCAACCCCCAAAAAAGCATCGCATTTTCCGCATCATCACCCCCATTCTTCTCTCTGCTGGGAAATGTCACCCTTTTGGCCAAAGGCTAACCTGAACCCCAATTTCTTCCTCTTTCAAAAGTCCCTCAATCCGTTTTACTCATCTCTCTCCTGCATCTTTAACTTTAAAAACAAAACACACAGTGGCGTGCTGGTCGTCTCAGCCATTTGGGTGGCTAAGGCAGGAGGATCACTTGAGTCTAGGGATTTGAATCCAGCCCGGGTGACATAGTGAGATTCCCAACGCTAAAAAACAGAACAAAACCCAGGAAATCAAGAGAGAAAATCAATGAAAATAAAATCTGGAAAAGAGTCATTATATATATATATGTAGTAGTTTTTGCTTTTTTTGAGAGAGTCTTACTCTGTCACCAAGGCTGGAGTACAATGGCGTGATCTCAGTTCACTGCAACCTCCGCCTCCTGGATTCAAGCGATTCTCCTGCCTAGACAGGCAGACTGTCCTAAGGTTTGTCTTTTTAAATATATATATATTTAGGCCGAGCGTGGTGGCTCACACCTGTAATCCCTGAACTTTGGAAGGGCAAGGTGGGTGGATCACGAGGTCAGAGGTCAAGACCATCCTGGCTAACACAGTGAAATTCTGGCTCTACTAAAAATACCAAAACAAACAAAAACCAACAAACAAACAAGCCTTTCTTGTATTCCAAATTCCCCTCCACTTATCCGTCTCTTTCCTTTCCTAGCCAAGCTTCTTCAAAGAGCTGTCTACACTAACTCTAGTCCCTTACCTCAGTTACTTCTGTACTCTTTTTTTTTTTTTTTGAGACGGAGTTTCGCTCTTTTTACCCAGGCTGGAGTGCAATGGCACGATCTCGGCTCACCGCAACCTCCGCCTCCCGGGTTCGGGCAATTCTCCTGCCTCAGCCTCCCGAGTAGCTGGGATTACAGGCACGCGCCACCGTGCCCAGCTAATTTTTTGTATTTTTAGTAGAGACAGGGTTTCACCATGTTGGCCAGGATGGTCTTAATTAATCTCTTGACCTTGTGATCCACCCGCCTCGGCCTCCCGAAGTGCTGGGATTACAGGCATGAGCCACCACGCCCGGCTCTCTTTTTTGTTTTTGTTTTTGAGAGAGTCTCATTCTGTCACCAGGGTGGAGTGCAGTGGGGAAATCTCCACTCACTGCAACCTCTGCTTCTTGGGTTCAAGTGATTCTCCTGCCTCAGCCTCCTGAGTAGCTTGTACTACAGGTACGTACCACCACACCTGGCTAACTTCTTTGTATTTTAGTAGAGACGGGATTTCGCCATGTTGGCCAGGATGATCTCAATCTCCTGACCTCATGATCTGCCCACCTCGGCCTTCCAAAGTGCTGGCATTACAGGCATCAGCCACCATGCCCAGCGACACCTCTTTTTTGAAACTCTTCATTTACTCCCTCCTGATTTTCCTCTTTTTCTTTTTTGGAGACAGGGTCTCTTTCTGTCACCCAGGCTGTGGTGTGGTAGCATGATCAGAGCTCACTGCAGCCTTGAACCCCTAGGCTCAAGTGCTCCTCCTGCCTCGGTCTCCTGAGAAGCTGGGAGTACAGACCTGTCCCACCACATCTAGCTGTCTCCTAATTTTCATTCCTCCTTCATCGGCTCCCCTTGCTGTATCTGTCCTTTAAATGCTTTATTTCCCAGAATTCTGTCCTTGACTGCCTTCTCCCACTCTCCTTCTACTGCTCCCCTCAAGGACTCTCTTCCATGGGCATGATATTAACCAGTGCCACCTCCCCTGTCTGCAGCGCACACCTCTCCTCCATGCTCCAGAACCCTAGGCTCAATTTTAAGTTTCCCAAGACATTTGTATTCATGATTTATTACTGCACAACAAATTATCCCCCAAATCTAGTGGCTTATGAAAATAAACACTTGGCACAGTGGCTCACGCCTGTAATCCCAGCACTTTGGGAGACTGAGGCAGGCACATCACTTGAGGTCAGGAGTTCGACACCAGCCTGGCCAACCTGATGAAAACACTGTTTCTACGAAAAACACAAAAAGTTAGCCAGGTGTGTTGGTAGGCGCCTGTAATCTCAGCTGTTCAGGAGGCTGGATAGGAGAATCACTTGAACCCAGGAGGTGGAGGTTGCAGTGAGCCGAGACTATACCACTGCATTCCAGCCTGGGTGACAGAACAAGACTCTGTCCCCCCCCCCCAAAAAAAAAGAAAGAAAGAAAGAAAAAAAGAAAAAAAAACTATCCTGAGAGTCAGGAGTTTGGGAGAGACCTACCTGGGTGGTTTGGGCTCAGAGTGTCTTGGGAAACTGCAATGAACATATTGACCTGGGCCATAGTCATCTGAAGGCTTGACTGGGGCTGGAGGATCTGCTTCCAATCTTGCTCATTTCCACACCTACTGCCTGGAAGTCTTACAACCTCATAGGTTATTGGCGAGAGGCCTCAGTCCCTTGTCACACAGACCTCCCCACAGAAGAGCTCCCGCATCCTCCAGAGTGAGCAATCCAAGACAGGGTGAGGAGGAAGCCACCCTAGCTACCCTCAGAAGTGACATGTCATCACTTCTGTTGTATTTATTGGCCACACAAACCAATCCTGATATGTGTGGGAGGGGACCATATGAGAACACAAATATGAAGAAGCCATCAGAGGCTGGCAGCTACAACACCTCAGACTCACTGGGCATGGTGGCTGATGTCTGTAATCCCAGCACTTTGGGAGGCCAAGGCAGGCGGATCACTAGGTCAAGAGATTAAGACCATCCTGGCCAACATGGTAAAACCCTGTCTCCACTAAAAATACAAATTTTTTTTTTTTAGACGTTGCTTCGCTGTCATTACCCACACTGGAGTGCAATGGCACGATCTCAGCTCACCGCAACCTCCGCCTCCTGGGTTCAAGCAATTCTCCTGCCTCAGCCTCCTGAGTAGCTGGGACTACAGGTGCGCACCACCATGCCCAGCTAATTTTCGTGTTTTTAGTAGAGACAGGGTTTCACCTTGTTGACCAGGATGGTCTCGATCTCTTAACCTTGTGATCCACCTGCCTTGGCCTCCCAAAGTGCTGGGATTATAGGCGTGAGCCACCGCGCCAGGCCAAAAATAGAAAAATTAGCTGAGCATGGTGGCTCACGCCAGTAGTCCCAGCTACTTGGGAGGCTGAGGCAGGAGAATTGCTTGAACCCAGGTAGCAGAGGTTGCAGTGAGCCGAGATCACAACATTGTACTCGAGCCTGGTGACAGAGGGAGACTCCATCTCAAAAAACAAACACAAAAACACCTCAGACTCAACAGATCCACAAGTGAACTTTCTCTTCCCCAGCCCTCCCTTCAAATCTGCTCCAAGCCATACATCTGGAAATAGTTCTTGATTCTTCCTTCCTTAAACTTCCTCTGCAGTCAGTCACTGATTCCAGTCCATCTTTCCCTAAAACCACGGCAGTTTGTCTGCTTCACTCCCATGCTCACTGCTTGCCCATGAACTTTTTCACCTGGATCGTTTTGCTTCTCACTTAGCTTCACTGCTTTTTGTCTTACCTGCTGCCAATCCATTCTCCACACTGTTGCCAGAATGATCTTTACACATTTTAAACTCCTCCAAGGCTTGTTAAGAAACACGCTCCTTAGTGTGGGATACAAAGCCAGTGGCTGTAGCTCCCACCATGCCCGTCTTTCTCTCCAGCCAAGATGTATCATTTGCAGTTCCTAGAAGGTGTCAGCGTAATTCACATCCCCGAGCCTTTTCATAGGCTGCTCCCACTTTTTGGAATTTGCCCTTCTACTTATCTCAACCAGGCTGACCCTGATTCATTCTTCAAAGCCCAGCAAGTTTTGAAAGCAGGAACTATGTCTTGTCCTCTCTGTATCTCAGCCCCTATCACAGGATATACCATAGAGGAGGTGCTCAACAAATGTGTGATGAGTGAACAAATGACCAGACAGTTCTGTGTGCCTGGTACCCATGTGGCATGCTTGGCACGCAGGAACAGCAGGTCCACAGCTCAGTCACTATCCCCCTTGGACTACTTTTCCCTGCCCAAAGAGCTCCCTCTGCATCAATGACACAGCTGGAAAAAACAAATTGTGAATCATATCCCACCTCATTCCCTGTGACCTTGGGAAAGTCATTTATTGCCTCTAGTCTTATTCTACAGTAAGGGTTAATAAAAAGATAAAATGAATAAAATAAAAATAAAAAGATAAAATGAATTACTTAGCAATCAAGTTCATTATTAAAAAAAAGAAATAAGATGCCAGGCTCAGTGGCTCACGTCTGTAATCCCAGCATTTTGGGAGGCCAAGGTGGGCGAATCATGAGGTCAGGAGTTCAAGACCGGCCTGGCCAACATGGTGAAATCCTGTCTCTACTAAAAATACAAAAAATTAGCTGGGCGTGGTGGCGAGCGCCTGTAATCCCAGCTACTCGGAAGGCCGAGGCATGAGAATCACTTGAACCTGGGAAGCGGGGGTTGCAGTGAGCCAAGATCATGCCACTGCACTATATCTCGGGCAACAGTGCGAGACTCCATCTCAAAAAAAAAAAAGAAATAAGAAAAAGAAATTTTAAAAGTGAAAAAAAATTTTTAAGAAAAAATAAAAAAATTACAAAAAAAAACCCCACAACAAATTCACAGAGCAGGTGGCTAAGAAAAAAAAAACCAAACAAAAAAAGTATTAATTACATTAACATATTGAACTAGATACTGTGCTGGGCACTCATAAATTCGCTTGAGGGACCAGGCGCAGTGGCTCACGCCTGTAATTCCAGCACTTTGGGAGGCCGAGGCAGGCAGATCACTTGAGGCCAGGAGTTCGAGACCAGCCTGGCCAACATGGTGAAATCCCATCTCTACTGAAAATACAAAAAGTTAGCTAGGAGTGGTGGTGTATACCTGTAATCCCAGCTACTTGGGAGGCTGAGGTGGGAGAATTTCTTGAACCCAGGAGGTGGAGGCTGCAGTGAGCTGAGATCAAGCCACTGCATTCCAGCCTGGGCGACAGAGCAAACGATACTGTCTCAAAAAAAAATTGCTTGAGGAAGAGTCACAATATCCCAATGAGACAGGTTTTATACTCTCTTTGTACTCTTTCTTTCTTTCTTTTTCTTTCTCTCTACTATTTTTTTCCTACTCCCAAGTAGCTTAGACTGGAAGCATGTGCCACCATGTGGAGTTCATTGTTTTTTTTAGTAGAGACAAGATATCACTATATCACCCAGGCTGGTCTTGAACTCCTGGGCTCAACAGAGCCTCCCATCTTGGCTTCCCAAAGTGCTGGGATTATAGGCTGCGAGCCATGGCACCTGGTTATATATGTGTATGTGTGTGTGTGTATGTGTGTGTGTGTGTGTGTGTGTGTGTATATACATATTTTAATTTTGTAGAGATGGAGCCTTGTTATATTGGTCAGGCTGGTCTCAAACTCCAGGCTTCAAGTGATCCTCCCACTCCAGTCTCCCAAAGTGCTGAGATGATAGGCATGTGTCACTGTTCATTTTACTTATTTACTATTTATTTATTTATTTATTTATTTATTGAGACGGAGTTTCACTCTTGTTACCCAGGCTGGAGTGCAATGGCGCAATCTAGGCTCACCGCAACCTCCGACTCCTGGGTTCAGGCAATTCTCCTGCCTCAGCCTCCTGAGTAGCTGGGATTACAGGCAGGTGCCACCATGCCCAGCTAATTTTTTGTATTTTTGGTAGAGACGGGGTTTCACCATGTTGACCAGGATGGTCTCGATCTCTTGCCCTCATGATCCACCCGCCTCGGCCTCCCAGAGTGCTGGGATTACAGGCGTGAGCCACTGCGCCCGGCCTATTTATTTATTTTTTGAGATGGAGTCTTGCTCTGTCTCCCAGGCTGGAGTTTAGTGGTACAATATCGGCTCACTGCAACCTCCACCTCCTGGATTGAAGCGATTCAATGCCTCAGCCTTCTGAGTAGCTGAGATTACAGGTGTGCACCACCACATCCAGCTAATTTTTGTATTTTTAGTAGAGATGGGGTTCACCATGTTGGCCAGGCTGGTCTTGAGCTCCTGACCTCAGGTGATCCTCCCACCTTGGCCTCTCAAACTGCTGGATTACAGCCATGAGCCATTGCACCCAGCCAAGTCTTCCATTTTAAATGTGAGAAAATTGAGGTCCACCTAAAGTCATACGGTATCTCATCAACAAGAGGACAGTAGCTGCCATCAGAGGCTGACCCCTATAGCCAAGTAGACATGTTTTTCTAATTGACTGGGAGGCAGAGTGGCACTGTGGAGGGAGAATCCTGGGATGTCAGACACACCTGGGTTCTGATCCTAGCTCCCTTGGTTGCAGACCTGCTATAGTTCGAGTGAAAAAAAAAAAAAAAGAAGAAAGGATAAAAGGGACCATAATCCAGAAAGAGGTTTGTTTTAGGAGATAATCTTCTAGGCTGAGCAGACTAGAGCTATTAAGAGCTCTCTGAGGGCAGAAACTTATCTTACCTTTCTATCCCTGGTGGCTAGTGCAGTTCCAAGGACATACGTGGTACTCAATAGGAGTACTTGAACAGGAGATTTGGAAGAAAGGAGGCAGAGGAGGGAACTCAAGAGTTTAGAATCAAGAATCCAAGGAGGCGACAGCCAAGAAAGAATGGGTCTAAGACAGAGACTTCAGGCATGTGGGGCCCTGGTTCCCTTACTCCAAGACTTTGGGAAATCCTCGAGGAACATGGTGCTGTGGCTTTAAATGACTTCAGCATTGTCAATGAATCCGCTCTGCTAAAAGAGTTATCCTCTTGCTCCTGTGCTTGGCCTCCCCCTCCTCTCAGCTCCCCAAACCCTTCTCGGCCGCTGTGATGGGATAATTAGATGCGAGAGCTCAGCACAGATGATGCTCCAGTTGCTTAGCAACTAATGGTTTCCATGGAGACCGCAAAGCACAGCCTCCAGAGCAGCCAGTGAGCAGCTCGGCAGGGCAGGGAGAAGACGCAACTCTCCGCTCCTCCAGAAACCTGGGGAGGGCCGGGGTGGGGAAGGTGGGGGGAACTGGAAGGAGAAGGGAGCACTTAAAGGCACAGGGCCCTCTTATCCCTTTAAAATCTGGTCGGAGATCTGCCCTCCCCTACCTCACTCTGTCCCACTCATAATTTTAGATGGGTATGGGGGCTTAAGAGTGGACCCAATGCAACCCACCTTGCAATAAATCCAATCTCTTCTTTCTGCTTCTTGGTTGTGCATGAGGAGAGAGGCCTCCGAAGTCCAAGTGTAAACAAGTTACTGGTGTGTGACAGATTTTGAAGAGTACCAGGAAGATCCCCTCACCCTGGCATTCCATCATTTAGTCTGTCCCCCCTCTCCCAAGTTCTCCTTAATGTGCAAAAGATCCTCTTTCAGTTTGTGCAGTGGTGGTGGGATCCAGTCTAAAAGGGACAAAAGCCAAGGTGCAGGAAAAACAGAATCAAATTCTTCACTCAAAGGCAGCCTATTTGGACAGATTGAGAAGGAACAACTGCCCTGATCCCTGATGTTGGTGGAAGAGGATCCAGTTGGGGGTGGGGATGGTGTTTACCAAAACAGAGCAGCTGGCAGCTCCAAGTGTGGGCCTCTCAGACCAGCATCATCAGAGATGATAATGAGAAGTCATTAGAAAAGCAGAATTGGCCAGGTGCGGTGGCTCACGCCTGCAATCCCAGCACTTTGGGAGGCTAAGGCGGGTGGATCACTTGTGGTCCCAAGTTTGAGACCAGCCTTGCCAACATGGTGAAACTCCATCTGTACTAAAAATACAAAAATTAACTGGATATGGTGGCAGGAGCCTATAATCTGTGCAACTTGG